AAACTAATGAAGTAGAGGATGAAATACACTTTCTTCTAAACTGCAAATTATACATAAATGAAAGAAACAACATATTCAAAGAATTAAAAATACAGCCTAAAAAAATACCAATAGACAGAAACTAGAAACTCTTCTAAATAACAAAGATGAAAAACTGATTCTGAAAATATCAAAATACATTCACAAATGCTTTCTTATGAGAAAAGAAAATATACAGAGATTGCCAGCTGCCCTGAAAATATAATGCACTCTTACATTTATATGTAAACTATTTATTTACTACTTTGTTAAAGACTTTTTTTAACAGTTATTTTTTCTTTTTTCGTTATACTTTTATTTATTAATGTTGTATTTTTTGTATTTTAAATATATATTTTCTGTATCTTTTAATCTTTATTGTATGTTAGTCCAGATCTCAATGGAGATAGGTTGACAATAAAGTTATTATTACAATTCAATTGGCAAAGACACCCATGGAACGTGGCTATCCCCCTTTGCCCGGTTTGCCAAATTCGTGGTACCGAGGTCTGGGGAAGGAGCCTTGGAATCCGGTTGGGGGAGTTTTGGTCTCATCCCACGCTATGGGGTCTGATCCCGAAACACACCGACCGGGTAGCGTTTGGTCCAGTGGGAAGTGTTGCCTAATGTTATCCCCACCCGGGGGCCTTAAGCATTACATCCTCCGACATCGATGATACTCCTCCTCACCCCAAAAGCGTGGCTCACCGAGTCATACAGATGGAAGACTCTGAGGGACCGCCCGAAGTACCGTCACTATTTGAGAGGGAGCGTGTTCGACTGTGCGTCTCATGACAGGGTCAGTTCCCTCTGGGGACGCCCGTGGGTCGGTAAGAAAGGAGTCAAAACCCACAGCGGGGACTGGACACAAGGATAAATTCGTTACCGCGTGACGAACCCTAGCTGGCTGAAAGTGGGGGGGTCAACGTGTGCCCTGCCCCGAAAGCCCTGCCCCGAGATCGGAGACTTGGCTGCCAGCACCCCGTTGGTGCAATTAGCCTGAGCCTCGGCCTCCCCCCAAAATAGTGGGAGAGCCATGACTGGGAACAGGGGTTCCCCGGAAGAGACGTGTTTGAATGCAAACATGCTTTCGTGTCTCTTCCTGCTTGCCCACCGAGGGGACACAGTGGAGACAGCTCACTCCGACTGCGTCTGATCTACCTGGCCTGCCAGAGACGCAATTGCCCCGACAGTCCTTCGACCAAAGCCCTCAACTCGGAGGCAAACCCGGCGCCGTGCGAGGAAGGGTCCACAAAGAGACCCACAACGGGCCCCATAGGAGGAAAGCCTCCGGGTGCACGGCCTCGCTGCAGCCGGTAAAAATCGGGTAAAACACCGCCTGAAAAAAACAGACTGTGAGGATGCCCTCCGATCAGCGGGGGAGACCGAAAAAAATATCGGTACCCGTCGAGCCTCTTACTCGACGTCCCGGTACATGAAGTACCGGTAGCCGAGCGTGAGGACTTTCCACTCACGCAAAACATGCAACTCACTTTAACCGATTTGTTTACTGGACACGCGACCTTGCTGTGACGTGGTCAGTCTCAGCGATTTTGATGGCTCTGAAAGAAAATCTCAGGCCTCAGAACTCCAGGAAAAAAAACAACACTTTCACGCAAAAACCCCGAACCCCGCACGTAGCTACGACAAAGTATCTCGGATGCGGGTTCTATACTGGTAAATTCTGAATATAACCACTGCACGGTCGACTCGAAACACGAGGAGACCGGAAAGAAAATGCCAGCGAGCCCTGGTGCTGTCATTACATCTATATATTGCCAAATACATTGTAAATAAAAGACAACATGCATGAGGGAAACGAATTACAGTTGTAAAAGGTGCCGCCATGAAAACCAACTGGTTACGTAGTGACGCCGGGTTTTAATTTCTTTGTTGTGAAAAATACTACACACAAAGGGGAAAACGACACAAGGGTAAAAATGACAAGGAAAACTTATCCTACCAGCTACAATGTCGGATGCCATGCAGCGGCAACAACCCAAGCTATAAACCCAGACAGGAAAAAAAAGGCAGGCGATTCAGCAGAGCTCGCTAGATTTTATCTCCACTCGAGGCGGAGAGAAAATCAGAGTGGTTGATGGCTACCTATGGTGCTGCCATGTGGCCTCGGTCACGTGGGTTCGTGACGTAAGGGGTAAAAGAATCTTGAGGTCATGGGGCTTCCCCTGACCTAGATTCTATCTCTCCGTCATCGGCAGAATCACTGATTAATGCCTACAGTTCAAAATAGTCATTTTGAGTGAATGGAGTCTATGGTGGGTAAAATTGAACGTAGTGAATTTTCTCGATTTATACAGCATTGTCAGGATTTAGTAATGTCTTTAATTAATTTGTCACTTTTCTATTTTAGCTGGAATTAATTTTCGCTGAAAACATCTTTTGGGTGTTTTGTATGGATTTTATTTTCACTGATTTTTGATGAGGAAAAAATTCGTTTGATTTTATTTTCACTGAATCATTCCTTCAGCGAAAATAGCGAAAATTAATTCCAGGCGAAAATAAAGTATTTACATACATATGGCAATGTGCAGTTATTGACAATGACAATTATTGTTGTAAAAACGTTTACCATGGATTGAGTATGAATATGAATCATAATATCATAAAGTTTTATTTTTCATGTACTCACAATTTGCCACCAGGTTTCAACAGCTTATAACAGGATTTAAATAATGACTTCTTATCAGCTATATGTAAATATACTAACCAACTTGCTACTATGTCATATTTATTACTGCCTTTGGGAAAATAAATAATTAAACAATTTACGTAGACAATATAGGATGTGATGTAATTGACAAAAGCTGAAACTAATATTAAAGTTGTCACTGACATGTTATTCCTACGTAACATAAATGTGACTGACATGTGACTGACATGTGTCTGTCATGTGTCTGTCATGTGTCTGTCATGTGACTGACATACGACTTAAATGTGACATGTAATGTTGTAACTAATAAAAAGCACTATATGACTTACCAAAATCAGCCGTCAAGATATCACCACATTCATGATGAACATAATGATCCAACTGACATCGCTTGGTCAAATCCTTCGCAGTCACATCTAACTGATGTTGAATTTCAATTGCAGTAACATGACATTTGGTAATATTGGCTAGATATCTGGCAGGTCCACCAAGGCCAGAACCAACATCTAAAACTTTGTGGTCAGCACTGTAATATTCCGAAACAAATTACAATGAAAGAATTAATGAATAAAATACAAATTATTGTAGCACTACAAAAAACTGTAATCACAATAAATAATTCATAATTGGAAAAACACAAGACTGATATTTTATTTTGAATTGCTATAAACTGACTAACTTTATGTTCAATAACTGTATTGCTTCTTGCACTGCTTCCGTTCCATGGTAGTGATACTGGTCTATTTTGCATAAATCCTCTATTTTTAGCGGGTCCGTTTTACTGTATCCCAACTATAGATGCAACAACAGAAATAAGTAATCCAACATATAACACTATTAAGCACATTGATCTAACAAAATAAGTAATGTACTGTGAAATACTTTATTTTCGCTGGAATTAATTTTCGCTTAAAAGGCTATTTGGGAGTTTCGTATGAAATTTATTTTTACTGATTTTTGATGAGTTTAATGTGAAATATACGAAAAAAAGTATATTCGCTGGATTTTATTTTCATGGAATCATCCCTTCAGCGAAAATAAATTCCAAGCGAAAATAAAGTATTCTACAGTATAAATGTAGTGACTATAAACTGAAATCCACCAGGCGACCATTTTTAACTTGATCTTCAAAACAAAGTGATGTACATCAGGTGCTGAATGTCAAGTTTGAATGAACATGACTGCAGAGGTTCAGTTCTAGGATGGCAGAAATGGTTGATTTTAGCACTACAAATATTGAATTGAATAGTGAAATAGTGAAATGAAGGCACATGTATATGTGTTACATGTCGTTTGTATGTAATTTGAATATGACTGGTTCAGACAATCAGATAAATGGAAGCACTGAGATGAATCGACAAGTGTCCATTTGCAGATCGTCAAAACAAAGGACAAACAATAGTGTGACATAAATTTACGTGGAAAGTACTTTTAGAAAACAGAGCCCTTGATGTGTGAATAAAAAAGCACACATGTTTGGATACTTCGCAACAACCCATTGCACATGTTTATTTTTAGATTACTGGTCACTAGATTGAGTTGCCACCTAAATTTGATATACATACATCCTGTCTCTCCCTGTGGCATAATAGTATGTCTCAGACAGTGGCATGGTGTTTGTGAAATACCTTGGAATGTGCTGAGCCCAGTGTTATTAGCAATGACAATAAATATGACATAATTTACCTATTTTTAATTGGTAGAGCTTGGATAAAAAGTAGTTTATTCAACTACCAAAATTGTCATCATCTATACACTGATTTGTCTGCTATTTCGTGATAACCAATTATTTCGCTGGATACATTTTATTTTTGCATGGCCATAATTTAGTTGTAGTATTTAAGTTGAGGCAAGTGTGAAAATCTTTAGTCAGGAAGGTGACCTGACTTGATCCTGTAACATCTTGTGATGCTGATTCTTGACTCCAGTGAGCTGTACCCTATACAGGGGTACATATACTGACGTACTGTGCAGAAATTGTACTGATTAACAGGATCCACTGATGCTCACTGACCAAAAAACACCCTGTTGTACCGGTGCTATGAGTAGCAGCATATAGCAGAGCAGTTGCCGATACTCCCTGAACACAGAGCACGAGTTTAAATTGTAGTGCAGCTGCTTCAACAATGAGCCAGCAACAATGGAACGCAACACCATAAATTGCTGTTCAGCAGACAAGCTGAAGGGAGAAGACTTATAAAATAAGCACGCTACTGGAGATGTCTATTTTTAGACCTGTACTGAAGATAAGATTCCAGATCCTGAATACAGAGTAGCCCCACAAAGGCACCTCCCGTCACAATAGTATTATACAAAAGGTCATCAATAATTATTTATTGAATTAAAATTAATTTTTCTCAGTTTATACTACCCTGGTATACGTAATGTATCAATTTACTTGAATTATTCAAACGTTCAAAATAGTGCAACAATATACTCTGAAAAATTTGGCAGAAATTATTTGCTCGAAAAAAGGATTAAAACAACAAAATGAAAATAACATGTGGGTTGCCTGCACTATCTATATAACTGATTATGGGTACCGGTAGTATAATATGTTCCCATTCAATGATGGCCATGATGTCAGAATTTTTAATATTTCAATCTATGGAGGGTGTCACCTTATTACTATATTAGTAATAGTTCAATAATAATCAATAGTTTCAAGCAAACAACAGGATATATAAGTCGCAACTGACCGAGGGACCTTGATGCAACGAAACATTAGTTCTTTTACTTAAAAAACGCTGGGAAAACACAATAGAATTTTTGGAAGCCATCCAACTACCTCTGACTTAGCTGATATCGCGTCAAAATATTAACAAAATAAATCAAATTTTCTGGTAAGACTTATATATTACTGTATATTTTTTCTTTCATATAAACTGTTGATAATTTATCTGCATCTAACTGGAAGTGAATTTCACTGAACAAATAATAATCATATGTCCAAATAAAGACCAACATCCTTTGGAAACATATATAAATAATAATTTCTATGATCTCAGTACCGGTATATGTTTTCTCTTTTTTATTTAAACTTTCAAGCTAAGCTGACTTAGATCTACATCCAAATTGATCGATTAATCGTATCAGACTCCAATTTAACTCAGTCATATATGTGTTGGTTCATGTTTCCACTCACAGACAGACATCTAGAAAGAATATTGTTACATTCTAAAATTACAAAATACTTCAGTTTAAACCAATGAAGCAAATTTTTAGAAATATATCAAAAAATATATAAGCCAACCAAAATGGAACTGAACCACGATCATATATTGTTTGATGAAATTTCGGAGTTTGAAAATTAAGAATTTCCTGGGATATCCCAGCTACAAGTGAGTGGTAACAACAACGACAATGACAGACATTGTAACTCCCCTACCTTAATTACCATCCCATTACTATCACTATGGGCAAAGTAAAATAAACAAGTGTAAAAATGTATTACTGGTATTAATGTTATAATGGCATTTCCCATGTGTGTTGGTGTTTGCATTCCAACAATATTTATACTCCTTTATTAGTGAAAAATTGCAGCATTGAATATTAAACTTACGTAGGAAGCATTTGGTAAAACACTTGATTTGTAGATTATGCAAACATTTAGCTATCCCATCTCCATGGTTACTAAATCATAAGTAACAAAGATTGATATACCGGGTATGTACAAAGTTGATATGTGCAATGGCTAGACCAATGTCCAAAGTTAATATGTGAAATGGCTTGACCAATGTCCAAAGTTAATATGTGAAATGGCTTGACCAATGTCCAAAGTTTATATGTGAAATGGCTTGACCAATGTCCAAAGTTTATATGTGAAATGGATTGACCAATGTTCAAAGTCCATATGTGCAATGGCTTGACCAATGTCCAAAATCGATATGTGCAATGGCTTGACCAATGTCCAAAGTCAAATGTTAAAGTCAAATTAAGTATATTATTATTACCTCCTTAAGTTCATTGTATATCCGTTCAACATCATAATCTGAAATAAATAAAAGCGAACTTAAAAATGAAACAGAACAACGATACTACCAAAATTCAACTATAGGATGTTAGATCATATTTCGGAAATTAGAAGAGGGTAATTTATTTTTCATTCATTGAATTAGGCGAGGGTTCTCCGAACCCGCCTATTCATATAGTTCATACCCACCATAGACTCCGGTCAGTCAAAATGACTATTTTGAACTGTAGGCATTAATCAGCGATTCTGCCGGTGACGGAGAGATAGAATCTAGGTCAGGGGAAGCCCCATGACCTCAAGATTCTTTTACCCCTTATGTCACGAACCCACGTGACCGAGGCCATATGGCAGCGCCATAGGTAGCCGTCAATTACTCTGGTTCGTTTCTCTCCGCTTCAGGGACTTAGACCAACGCGACGGAAAGAGTGGGGAGGTTGGGGGGACCCGGAGTCTATGG